ACTCCAGCAAAACACCGACAATAATCAAAGATCAAAACTGATTTCAATTTAAAAATCCCTGCACGAAATACTCCTAAATCGAAAACAATCTTCTTCAATCCTCCCTCAACGAAAGCTACTAGACGAAGGTGTCGAGGAAAAATTAAGCCACGCCCCCAAGTCCCATAGCCAAAATGACCGACCCAATAAAAACCTGAAATCTAGCACTATTTCGGCAATTGGATACGACGGTACGACCGTAATTCGATAGTTTCTAATGTCGGCCATTAGAATTCGTCGACGGCCAATGAGTGGCCTGACCTTCAGATCAAGTTAGTCACTACAGGCAGACAATAGAAATATTTTCAGTAACAGTACGACTTGATTTGAAATTCTAATAAGATTTTTATTCTAATTAGCGTACCTTGTTTTGCCAGGTTTTTTTTTGTTTTATTTCGCTAACAAAGAAAAACCGATAGCTGATAAAATATCGAAGGTTTTTCGTGTTACGCCGGTTTGCGGAAGCGAATAGGTTTGGCGAAAAAATCATTCAAGTACGAACCGTTCATTTGCATCAGCGATGTGGAGGTTCTATGTAATGGGGCTGATGTGCACCTGCACGCAGGTGCTACCCAGTTCTACAAAATAAGCGAAAAAATCGCAAACCATCCTCCATTTGCCTCAGTTGCTTTGGGTTTTTTTGTGTTAAGCTCGAATAAATGATGGACGTTGATTGAATGTTGAAAAGGCTTGAGGATGGCGCATTAACAGTGGAACGAATTACATACGTGCGACTCCTCAATACGAAAGCTATTAAACATGAGTAATTATTTGCACTGTACAGTAAATCTGGTAACATTTAGCCAAACAATCACCTACATGGCTCCACATGTATGCAAATTGATCGGCACCAATTCAAAAACGGAAACCATACGATTTTAATCGGGCGAACGGCAAATCGGATCGACATTATACCGCATTTTCCAGATACGGCACAAGCACCTACATGCTTTATGAACTTTACCAGCTTTATGGAAATCAATTTCCCCGGCTTGCGACATAAATATGATCACTAAAATGGCACCACATTTGGCCGGTATAAGTGCTTTATTTCTATTTTCGTTCAATTAGGACTGTGCCCATTTTCGACGCTGGGTTTGTTGACTTTATGCTCGAAAAATGTGCCAGCGACTCGAATTGAACGTGATTTATTTGGCACTTAGTGGTGCCAGTTCGATTTAGTAGGAACGAGTCCTTGGGTTTTGTATTTGTTATATTCGGTATTTTCACGAACATGTCAGGAAATCCTGAGGTGTTCACTCGAGAATTGTATTTGTGTGCTTGCTTCAGACATGAGGGGTGTTTCTACACTGTTAAATTCCAGTTCTGGGTTTTCAACTGAGTTGAGACCAATTTTCTAAAACCTTTTGGCAGATATGACTTCTACTGGCCACTGTGTAGCACGATCAATTTCAGAAAATGCGCATTCTTCAAAACGCCAGTAGCTACAGAGGTTCCTGTTGTGCTACTGCAAAGAGCATGTTTCTCTGTTTATACTAAGAAAGTTTCATTAAAATTCCGCACCCGGTTCAGTTTTTCTTAATTTTCAAAAACCTATTCATAGATCAGCCTTCTAATGGCCCCCTTTCAAAAATATATATATATTGAAAACAAAAGGAGCAACCGATATTATTGCTGCATTGTTGCAAAAAGCACGCTTTCTGGTATTTCCCACGAAATTTTCATTAAATTCCATTGATTTTAGGCAAATTTTCAAAAATAGAGCCTTGTTTAACGCTCAAATGGAAAATTCATATCTCCAAACCTACACGAACTAGCAATATTTCGCCATTGCAAAACGCACGCTTTTCTCTATAAATCGCGAAGGCTTCATTAATATCCTACTTTTGAGTCTCGAGTTGAAGATAATTTTCAAAAAAAATAATTGTTTTGTATGTTCAAAACCAGAAGAATATAGCTTCAAACCTAGATGAGAGATATTCGCATTGTTCCACTGGACATAATAGACTTTTCTCGATTTTTGAGGTTTCATCAAAATTCAGGTCTTGTCTTGGTATTTTTTTTTAATTTGATTTCAAGCTCGCGTTCTAATGAGCACCGTAGCAACACTAGAAAGTATCCTGTTGTGTAGCCAAAAAGAACAAACTTTTCTCTATATGCGGAAAATGTTACATTAGAATCCTTGTTTTTCTCAAAGTGGACCAAATTTCCAAAAACTAGCTAACAAATAGTTGGCGACCATTCTTTAACAGGTTCCATTTTGGAGAATTTTGTCCCTAACACTGGACAAGCAAGCGTCATTTCTGTTGTGCCTCACGCGAAGATCAAGCTATTCTCTATATGACGGGAAAGTTTAAGTAGAATCACAGTCTTTTCTCAGGCGAATTCTCTAGAATCAAAGGCGAATTTTAAAAAATGTGGCTACTAGTTTACCTGCAAATGGACCCCGTTTGACACGCTGAAATTCAAAAAGTGATCTCCCCGAAACTAGACGATCTAGAAAAAATGTTTTTGTGGCACTATAAAGAGCTTTGATTCGTATATATGGAATGCTTCAGTGAACTCCCAATGTTTCGCAAGTTTAACCAAATGTACAAAAGTTTGCCAAAATCTCTAAAGCGAAACGATCTAGAGATATTTCTGTTACGCTACTGTAAAGAGCAAGTTCTTCCTTATAAGTCTCGAAAGTTTCATTAAAATCCCTTATTTCATTAAAATTAATTTTTTTTATTGAGTTGGAACAAAATAATCCGCATCTTAATAACCTCGTTTTTCAGATACTTACGCCAACGGTTTAAAAAATTGAGACGAATTTTGAAAATTTGTAGTTTGCCTTCAAATGGCCAACGTTCTAATCGCGCAAATTGAAAAACGAAAACTAAACGATCTTGAAAGATTGTTCTTTCGACACTACAGAAAGCAATGATTTCTCCATATATTGGAAATATTTATTTAAAATGGTCCAAATTTGCTTATAAATCCACCTGAAATGCTCCAAAGTTCTAATGGTTCCTTCTTCTATATTTGACGAAAGTTTCATTCAAATACCACTTTTCTTTGAATGGAGGCAAATTTTGAAAAGCTCGCTTATCTCTTGTTTTCCAATTACTTCCTTGGCCTTCACGGCTTCAGAAATCTGTTTCTATGTTTTCAATTGGCCGAGCTGGAAATGTTCCTTGGGGCGATAGAAAAGTGATGTTTTTAACAGTTTCTCTTCCCCACACTGGGAGATTTTCAAAAAACTAAGTCTTACAGTGTAACTTTTGTGTCGAGGGTAATTTGTTAATCTATTCAGAAAACAACATCAAAACATTTAAAAACATTACTTTATAAAGACACATAAATTTAAAAAGAATAAAATCTGGTTTCGTCTTAGATCAAGCCAACCATTTCAGTAAATTCGAAATGACTTTTAAGGGCAATTGTGCCTGATAACTTGGATATTACTCGATTAAAATAGGTATATTTATCCGGCTAATGTAAAACACGTTCGATATCAGAACAACTACATGGAGCGGCAGCATTTACGTCTTTGGATCGTAATTCCCAATGTAACCATCAGTATCTGCCATAAAAGAGCCGCTAGTTTGTCGATCTAGATTCCCTACTAACAACGTTCACTAGTGGGCAGCCTATCAAGCTCGAATATCAAGTTTATGATGTATCTAGTTCAGTGGCATATACGAGGTGTTCAACGCCGGCCACAACCTTTTATTATGTTGTATAAGCGCTGTTTTATCACTTATTAGCATAATGTGTAATGGCCCATTATGTCCAGGCTTTTGTGGATTGTTTACGGTCAACTTTAATAAAGTGCCATTTAGAGAGCTCGTATGGGAATGATTGCCAATACTGCTTGTAATTTGTTTAGAGATGGTTACACGCTTAAACACTTCCTACCCAAGGCAATTGCTCTCAAAGCTCTTTTTTGCATCATTAATACGGTAGGTGTTTTTTTTTCAAACACAAGTTTAGTCCATTTTTTGCAAATTTCTTACCCAACTTCTTTCAATGAACTAAATCGATAATTGTGTAATTTTAAACCAAGTGCAGAGAATGTGTATCGTTCGCCCGTCCGATCGCTGGCCATTAGCTGAGGCTTCAATTTTCGGAGGCAATTAGAACGAATTTGGCTTAATTAACCGTTTAACTTAGAAGAGCCAAACTTGGAACAGGATGTAGGTGCATTGCGGGGCCTTAAAAAGCTAATTATAACATTACAACGCACTAATTAAAGCCTGGTTGCTATTAAACGATTTGAATGTTCTGCATATGCCAATTGAACTTTTTTGTTTTTCGCATTTAAAAATGTTTTGCTTGACAAATTTCAACAATCAGTTAAAAATGGAAAAACCAAACCAAAAATTGGTAAAGATGTTCGATCTACTTAGAAAAATTGTGATAAAGTATCAATTACGAAAGTATATAAAAATACAAGGATCGAACAAGTAGAAAAGCAAGGAAAAGGACGAAAGCAAAAGCGAGGAAAAAGCAGACGTAAATCGAGAAAACAGAGACAAATCTGGTTAATCATTCGTGGACCAGTGCGAAATGGAACATCAAAGACTTAGACACCGAAAAATAAACAGAAAAAATCGGTCACAAAAAGCTTGGTTTTATACTTCGCAGCAAATGATTGTTGCTAAAAACAGCCGAAATTGAAATAAAAACTTTTGTTAATTTTAGTGAGCAGAACACAGAACAAGATTTCCTTCGTAGTTAGTACTTGAAGCATTGAAATTCGATATTTTTGTTTATCAATTTACCGATGACCAAGTCTAGAACATTAACATTTTTTAAAATTGTCTTCTATCGTTCTGTTATGTTGAACATTTACGTAAATTTAGTCAGAAAATCGGCAGCTTCAACACCATCGAGCTTCCGCAATAGATTGGTGAGGTAGGAATATTCGGGTCGAGAAATCGGTGAGACACCCGTTAGATTTCTGAAGGAAAACTGGTCTGATTTGACCTGCAGCTAGCGTTTCAACCATTTCGTTCGATACATATGACAGTCTTTATTTGAATTAATTTCTTCCAGATTACCTATAAATTAAATAACGTTCATACGATTGAGCCTACGCACACACATACATATTAAGGATAAAATTCAATAAATAACTGCCTATTGTGAAATAAAGCAAATAAGTTACAATTAGCGAATGGGACACAGTTGATAGACAAAAGGAACAAACCTTGATAAATCGTCGGGTTGGAAAAGCAACTGAAACGGACTTAAAAAAAAGTTAAATATTACAAGGCGCCTTTGTTGGTTTTGTGAAACTCCAGTGAAGAAAATTCAAATTCTAATTCAATTTTTTTTGTTTCTACGCTTATCTGTGGGTAGAGGAATTCGGCTTACTTTAGTACTTAACTAGCACCTTGACATTTGGAATATTGTGTCTAGTTTATACATAAATTTGAATAAGTTAATTACACGTCAACGTGTAATTATTGAGATCAAGTTGACTAAAAGAGGGTAGAACTGATTCACATGAGATCAATAGACAGATAAACGATCCAAGTGGATCTGTTGGGTGCGCACTATAGAAGATACTATTAATAGTTTCTTTGGAGTATGGTTTAATCCAACTATTCCAAAAATATGGGTGGAAATTGCACGCCACTTAATTGGCATTAAGAACTGGCCGAATCTAAGTCAATTACGGGTAGGTACCTCCTAAACCCAAACTAATGGAAAATTTATTTTAGATAATCAGTTAACTAGGCCATTTACGCCTAAGTAATTTGCCGTGTTGATCGGCGTAATTTAAGAACGGTTTCGGGTTTTAAGCACGCTGATTTCGGTTCGAAATAGAGGCCACGGTAAACCTATTATAGACATAACTGGTATTTATTTTTTTCAGTTGCGTGCTGTTGAAAATCCTAGTTGATTTTGCGTCACAGTTCTTCGCTGTTTTCGGGCTTCAAGAAAACTTGAAGCTCTTGAACATTAATTGATGGATATCTGGGGTGAAACACTGATTTTTTGACTTTGTTATGTATAATTGTTGCATATCAGGAGTCTTTTGCTCGAAGGAAGAATTAATGAAGATGGCCTTTGATAGTTTGGCACCATGTTCATTCATGTAAATGCCACTTGCCGAGGCCATTAGCGGGATAATTTTTTCGTGTTAATTTCTATGGTGGCAGCGATCCTAGGATATCAATAAATTATATATGATTAATCGTTGGGTCGGTTAATTGCATTTGGACGAATAAGAAACAAGGTCTTGTCCACATGCGAGGCAACGCGTTTCATAATCACCGTTAAGCTCTAATTGTTCGTGTAATTGCTTTATGTAGCTCGCAAACGAAAAAGCACAAATCTGGAACTCAAATTTTTGCCCGAGGAAACGAAGTGGTTCGACTTAATAAGTGGCAAACCTGATAAATAGCTAAAGGTGCTCAAATGCACAGCGGGGCGTCACTTTCATAACGACATTTCTTCTACGCCTGATTTTTCCATTTCAGATTCAACAAAGACATATTGGTCAAGGTTTTCAATTATGAGTATTGCGTGTGTAAATTAGCCGATTTGAAAATCATTATGGAGATTAATTGATAAGAACACCGACATTGGCATTTAGCCTGCTGCAATTAGTGTGGCTAAAATAGTTGATGAATACGCGAACTTGGCACCAATGAAACGGGCTCTGGAAAGTCTTCTGATCCCCCAACTCTATTTTTTATTTCAGAGTCCCCGGCCATCCGACTCGGACTCATCAGACAGCGGACGTAGTGGAGACGAAGCAGACGGTCGGTCGCACTCGTCGCCCACTCCTCCACCACCCAGAATACCCGCCCAATTGCCCGGATTGCCGCCCAACATGACGTCAGTTGACGTGGCATTAGCAGTGGCGGCCCTTACGGGAGGAAATTCTGCGGGTGTCCCACCCGGCGCTCCGCCAATGCCCTTTTATGCCCCTAGTATGCTCACGCATAACTGGTGAGTGTACGACACACCGTTTGCTTATTTAAATTAAATCGATTTTCTCTATATTTTTTTATTTACTTATGCAGCTGTACTGTATGCAGGTTTCAAGTTGGTCCACTCGATCCAAGTTTTGTAGACTGCTAGAAATCGTAAATCCAAATTATTTTGGTTTTAACGCGGGTTTTTGCATGTACTTAAGGATCTTGAGCAAAACATTCAGTTTTTGGTCGAAATTTTTAGGGTTTACAAAAACCCCTGGTTTAAAATTGCTATGAATTATACAAAATGTTTCAAGAAAACGTCTCTATTAGTTTCATTTTCTCACACATATATAAAAGTAAAATTCCATCAGGTTAGTTTAATTTAATAATAATCACTTAGACACAACATTTTGACATCGTTGGATAAGTAGGGGAGGTACGGAACATTGGCCTGCTCGATAGCGGGATTTAAATCCCCTAGATTTTTGCACTTGAAGTCGTGTCGTCAGTCATTAGTTTATTCCCCTCGGGTTGAAAATGCTCATGACATGAGGAATCGAATTATAGCCTGTGAGCGATAAGAATGACGCAAGGAATATTTGAATCAATGAGGCGAAGTGTTGAATCTTGTGTCACGTCTGAGGGAGGTCATTTTAAACATTTCTTGAAGATTTGAGCCTACTAAAAATTTAGTTAGTGTTGTTTGCTGTTATTGCTCTGGTTTACTGTTATGGTATTAGATGGTTCTTAATAATGTATTAAGGAAATGAAAGATGCGCGATCTGGTGTTTTATTTTTTACATCGAAACGACGCCCCATACGAAAAAAAGGCAGGAGAGATTTTTTGTCACAATTGAACGTGGACTTTAAATTTAAAATATCTTAGTAGCGTACTAGGCCTGGGTAATACTGTGTCTTAATACACTTGTTGTGCCGCTCTATGTGGCCATGTGCCGCGACACCTGGCCTCTTACGAAGCGGCACTTTGAACAACACTTTTAACATTTAATCTCATTCAAGATGGCAGACTTTGGATTGCAGTTCGTGAAGGCCACGCGCAGTTGCCATATGGTTTCTGACCCTTTCGGCAGGGATTATTTACGTTATGCAGCCGCACGAACGAAAGTGCTCAAAATACTTGTCCACTGATTCTGATGCGTACAGATTCCACTGAGATTTTTCATCAAATTGTCGATTTCTTTCGACGTAAGAAGGTCACAAATATGCATTTGTAAAGCGTTTGGGTCAGTAATAAAGCAGAAATCGTCGGTTAAAGATCGTGACCGATCAAAAAACGCTTAAAATGTGCTAACAGTGTCTATTATTTCGGATTTGAAACTTCTACCATGTTTTGCAATGAGTTCGATGCATTCCTCACATCAGTGAGCCGAAAATGATGTAAAATTTAAGACATTTTGAGAA